GGAGACATCACAGTTCTTGATTTCAAGCTATACTATAAAGCTATAGTCATCAAAACTGGCATAAAAACAGTGAGACCAACGGAACAGAATTGAGAGCTCAGAAATAAATCCCCACGTATACAGCCAATTAATATCTAACAAGGGACTCAAGAACATTCAATGGAGAAAAGACAGTTTTTTCAATAAATAGTGCTGAGATACCTGGATATTCACATGTAAAAGAATGAAATTGGATCCATATCTTACACTTACAAAAAAGTTAACTCAGAATTAATTAAAGACTTAGATGTAAGACTTGAAACCATGAAACTCCTAGAAGAAAACACAGGAATAAGCTCCTTGATATGGCTGTTGGTAATTTTTTGGATGAAACCTAAGCAGAAGCAACAAAATAAACAAGTGTAACTATGTCCCACTAACAAGCTTCTGCACAGCTGAATAAATCATCAGCAAAGTGAAAAGAAAGCTTATGGGATGGAAAAAAAATTTGCAAACCACACATCTGATATCCAAAATACATAAAGAACTTGTACAACTCAACCAAAAAACCACATGTAATCCAATTTAAAAATGGGCAAACGAAGGGAAACAAAAGCAAAAATGAACTATTGGGACCTCACCAAGATAAAAAGCTTCTGCACAGTGAAGGAATCAGCAAAATTAAATGGAATAGGAGAAGATATCTGCAAATGATGTATCAGATAAAGGGTTAGTATCCGAAATCTATAAAGAACTTCTCAAACCCCAAAAACAAATAATCCAATGAAGAAATGGGCAAAAGACATGAGAATAGACACTTTTCAAAGGAAGACAACCAGTTAACAGACATATGAAAAGATGCTCAAGATCACTCATCATCAGGGGAATACAAATCAAAACCACAATGAGATATCATCTCACACCAGTCAGAATGGCTAAAATTAACAACTCAGGAAACAACAGATGTTAGTGAGATGCGGAGCAAGGGGGACTCTTCTGTACTGCTGGTGGGAATGCAAGCTGGTGCAGCTACTCTGGAAAATGGTATGGAGGGTCCTCAAAAAATTAAAAATAGAACTACCCTATGACCCAGCAAATGCACTACTAGGTATTTAGCCAAAGGATACAGGTGTGCTGTTTCGAAGGGACACATGCACCCCAATGTTTATACCAGTGCTATCAGCAACAGCCAAAGTATGGAAAGAGCCCAAATGTCCATCGACAGATGAATGGATAAAGAAGATGTGGTATATATATATATATATATATATATATACACACAATGGAGTATTATTTGACAACCAAAAAAGAATGAAATATTGCCATCTGCAACAACATGGATGGAACTAGAGGGTATTATGCTAAGCAAAATTAGTCAGAGAAAAATAAAAGTCATATGACTTCACTTATATGTGGAATTTAAGATACAAAACAGATGAACATAGGGGGAGGGAGGCAAAAATAATGTAAAAACAGGGAGAGGGGCAAAACAAAAGAGACTTTTTTTAAATTTTTTTTTTTTTACATTTGTTTATTTTTGAGAGACAGAGAGAGACAAAGCAAAAGCAGGGGAGGGGCAGAGAGAGAAGGAGACACAGAATCCGAAGCAGGCTCCAGGCTCCGAGCCATCAGCACAGAGCACAACGCCGAGCTCAAACTCACAAACTGTGAGATCAGGACCTGAGCTGAAGTCAGACTCTCAACAGATTGAGCCACCCAGGCACCCCAAGAGACTCTAAAGTATAGAGAACTAAGGGATGCTGGAGGGGTTGTGGGCGAGGGGGATGGCTAAATGGGTAAGGGATATCAAGGAAGACACTTGTTGGGATGAGCATTATTATTATAGGTATATGTATGGGATGAATCACTGGATTCTACTACTGAAATTATTACTGCATTATATACTAACTAACTTGGATGTATATTAAAAAATAAAAATAATGAAAATAATTTAAAAAAATAAAAATGGGCAAGGGAGCTATCTAGACATTTTCCAAAGAAGATATACAAAAGGCAGACAGCTATGTGAAAAGATGCTCAACCTCACCACTCGTTAGGGAAATACAAATTAAAACTACAATGAGATATCACCTCACACCTGTTAAGAATGGTCATGATGAAAAAGAGTTAACAAATGCTGGCAAGGGGTGGAGAAAAGGGAACCTTTGTGCGCTGCTGTTGGGAACATAAAATGGGCAACCACTATTGAAAGCAGTATGGAGGATCCTTAAAAAATTAAGAATACAACTACCACATGATGCAACAATTCCACTTCTGGGAATATATCCGAAAGCATCAAAAAAACCAACCTGAAAACACATCTGCACCCCTGTATTCCTAACAACATTATTTACAATAGCCAAGGCATGGAAATGACCTAAGTGTCCACCAATGGATGAAAAAGTTGTGTACTATATATACAATGGAAAATTATTCTGCCATAAACAATGAGGAAATCCATTTGCAACAACATGCATGGACCTTGGAGGCATTATGCTAAGAAAAATACTGTATAATCTCACTCATATGTGGAATCGAAACAAAAAACAACTCAAACCCATAGAAAAAGAGATCAGACTTGTGGTTATTAAGGCAGATGATGGGGTGGAGGAGCATTGGAGGAAGGTGGCCGAAAGGTACAAACTTCCAGTTATTAGTTCAATAAATACTAGGGATGTAAGGTGCACCATGACTATAGCTAACACTGCTATATGACATACAGGAAAGATGCTGAAAGAGTAAGTCCTAAGAGTTTTCATCACAAGAAAAATTTATTTTTCTTTCATTTCTTTCTATTGTATCTATATGAGAAGATGGGTGTTAGCTGAACCTGCTGTGGCAACCATTTCACAATTTATAAAAATCACACCATCATGCCATATGCCTTAAACAGATACAATGATGTAGGCCAATCATTTTTCAATAAAATAGAGGGAAAATAGTTGGGATCTTTAAGTGTTCAGTCCTCTATAGCCTCTTTCTTCTTAGAGCAATTTCATGGATTTTCAATGTGTTCAATTATTATCTCCATGTTAACAACTCCAGAATCCACAGTTAGAGTCTACAGTTGTCTTCTGGGTGCTGTACCCAAGTATGCCCAGAGTTCTGGGCTCCAGACTCAAAGTGCCATCAGAGTTCCGCTTCGAGGTCCGAAAGGCACCTTCAGCAAATTCAACTCAACTTTTATGGTCCCTCAAATTTGTTTTCTCCTACATCTCAGTTTATGGTATCTCCGAGTCACCCAAGCTAGAAACCTGGACATCTACCTGGAACCCTTCCACACCCTACTTCTCTCCATTCCCACGGCCACTACTATAGTACAACACTTCTGCCCCCGACAAACTGCAACAGATTTTTTGCTACGTGGTTGTTTCCTAGCCCATCTTATACCCATTTGCCTCTGGAAAACCTCTCCACCCTCCTTAAGAAAAAGTCCAAACCCCTGGACAGGGCTTAGCAGGTCCTTCAAGATCTGCCTCTTGGAATTTCCTCACCTTTCTGACCCACAAACTAAGCTACAGGATTTCTCTACGGTCCTCAAAAACCGTGCACTTTGAGGGTTCCCAAACTTTGCCTGGCACCTTCTGACTAAACCACTCTCAACTTTTAATGTGGAAACCTGCAGTTCAGGGGAAGCCTTTCACATATCCAACTCAGAAGTAGGAAGCCCTGCAAGTGCTCCCTCAGCCTGTACTACACTATTTATCTCACTGCATAGTCTATAAATATTTTCTGGTTTGGTTTACTCAGACCTTGACTATGGGCTTCCCTGGGCAGGATTGAGCTGTTTGCTTACATAGGCCAAAAGGCAGCGCATGAGGAAAGCACCAAAACATGTACTCTTGAATGAAGAATAGTATAAAAGAAAACATGGGGGTGGGGGCAAATTTAAAGTGTTTGCAGCGACTCCCACCTGAAACACAACACCTTAATTTATCTTATTACTTAAAAGTAACTGACGTTAAATTACTTCCTTTATATGATCAGATAGGCCTTTCTATGTGGACATCGGTAGTAGCCAAATGTTTGGTATATCGGATGGCTTAGTTTAAAATAACATCAACGCTTTAGATCACCATAGTAGCCTTCCACATTTGCAGTCACCCCGCTCCCAGCAACAGTCTTTTCCACTGAGCAGCCAGGGGTCTTTTCAAAACGTAAGATAATTGTGACTCCCCTACATGACCTCCCTACGTGGCTTACAAGGTCCTGCAAAGATCCGCAGCTTGCCCCACACCCCCAACCTTACTACCAGTTATTCTCCCTCTTAACTCACTCTGCTTGACTACGGGGGTCTTTCTTGCGGTTGCTGCTAAACAGCAAAGGTTACTCCAGCATCAGAGCCTGCAAAATTACCCCCACTCCCCGCCCCAGATCTCGGCACGGCTGGCCCCTCTCCTCATTTCAGATCTCGGCTCATGTGTCACCTCCTCAGAGACCTTTCCTGACCGCTTATCTAAAATAGTCGTCACATCTTAGTTAAACTCGATCTCATTATTTGCCTCACTTTCTCTATATAACCTGTCCCTATGTGATAATTTTGTGTCAAGCGTACGCTCCGTGAGGACAAGTGACAGCACCTCTCTTGTTCACTGTGGTCGCCCTACCGGCTAGAACAGTGCCTGGCCGGTAAACCCTTACTAAACATGCACTCAGCAAATCCGTCCATCTCGCGTTATTTTTTCCATTCTCCTTTCCCCTCCATTGTTAGAAATCCGTGAGGGTCGCTATCCTTGCAGGAAAGCTCTTGAAGCGTTGCCGCCGTTCCAAAGAGAGTCCTCTTCTCTCCGCGCGACGTAAGCCCAGCCTGGTAGGTAACGGTGCCTTGGGGACCGAAAGACGAGCCACAGACCCGGCACCCGCCTCTGAAAAGCGCTGAGGAGGGGCGGCGGCACAGGGCGCCCCTCTCCACGCTTCCTGCGGACCGCCGCTTCCCCAACCTTAGACCCTCTGACCTGTCTCTCAGTCGGCAGCACACACTCCTCCCCCCGCCGCCGAGCTCCGCGGCCGCTCCCAGTTACCTGCCGGGGATCTGGCTTGGGAGACTCAGCCTTGCCACCGCCATCCCAACAAACAGCAGCGCCCTCCGAGCCACCGTAGTTCGCGGAAAGTAGACGCTGAGCTCTCCTTCCGCATGCGCAAAGGTCCCGTTCGGCGTACAGTGTCTCTTAGCAACGGCTTCGAGTCCCTCCGCCAGGGGCGGAGCATCGGAAGCCACAGGGGGGAAGCCGAGGGGGAAGTGAGTGAGGCCAATCCGAGACGAGTCCCAGCCTCGATCGGCACGCCTCCTCTAACTGTCGCGAATGCGCAGATGGCTTTACGGCAGGCAAGGGGTGGGGGCAGCTGGGGGTAAGGAGGAGAGAAGGAAGCAACCAACCAACCAAGTCGCCCCCACCCCCCACCCCCACCCACCCCGGACCTGGTTTACGGCTCCGGGCTCAGGCTCCAGTGCGGACGCTGATTGGCTGCTGAAGGCTTGGTCCCATCCCAGTGACCCCAAAGTGCTGGAGGGAGGGGGCGGGGGTGGCCCAGTGCAAAGTGCATCCCGAAAGCCCCTTGCTTGGAGCCCCCGCGGCTGGCACTTCGGACCCTGTATGACCCGGGACCTCGCTGCCCCGAGACCTCCCGTGTGCCTCCGTAGCTGGGAGCCTCCGGCCCGGAGCGCGGCAGCCCCCTGCTCCGAGCCCTCAGACCGGGACTGCCCCCCCCACCCGAGCCGGGACTTCCTCCCCGCACCCCTGCCCCGAGGCTGCCCGGCGGTCAGGATAGTCGCCCTCATTCTGCTCGGCTGTCTTGATGCTCAGCGGGCTGGGGCCGTGAGGCACCGAGAAGGATCAGGAACACCCGTGTCCGGCCCTGCCTGGGGTGTTTGTTCAATGGAGAAGTTGGTGAGTGTGGAGAAGGCTGAAAGGAGGAAGAGAAGCAGCAGCTGAGGAGACAGGTAAAGTCAGTTACCTCCCCTGAGGGGAAGGGGGCTGGCCGGGAAGAAGAATCCCTGCTTCTTCCTGCCTGCCCTTATCACTCTTCCTTCTGCTGCCCCTTCTCAGAGCCCCCTCCTCCTCGCCCCTGGGTCCCTGCACCACTCACTGGTTTCTGCTTTCCAGGTTTGAGCTGACTAGAGGAGACGAGAGCGAGCAGGAAGGGGTCAAGCCACCCACCAGAGAAGCCGCCGCGAGCCTCTGACCAGCATCTTCTGTAAAGGTAATAAACCAGACCTCCCCTCCCCCATTGTTTATTTCTAGCCCCTACCTCATTAAGCATTGCTTTATTTTCAGCGTGGTTACGTGGAAATGCAACTCTTTCCTGGCATCCAGTTTCCCAGCAAAAATAAAACATTGTTGGTGTCTCATCGTTAAGATTTTAATTAACAATAACTTCTCTCTCCCAGAAACGTATTTTCCCTTTTCTGTACATTGTGTTTTCTTTCTTTTTCTTTTCTTTTGCATTATCTTTTGGTACACTGTACCATTTACCCTGCTCTGAGACTTTGGGACCTTTCTGTAGCTCCCCCCCACCTTACTCTCTGAGGAATTCCTCAATTCCTTGTTAATTGCTTGTTAATTCTGAATGACTCTGCTTTTTAATTAAACCACGATTTTCTGTTTTCCCCTTATGTTTTCCTATCACCTCTCCTCTAAATCTGTCAGAAAATCTTTTGAGTAAACTAACTGACAGGGGTTTGGTAGAGGAAGACACAGTAATGGCTTGAAATTTATGAGTTTCAGAAAATAACTTGGCTTTTTTCTAGTGAAAAGTGAGTCTGTGTACCTTAACAGCGTGGATAGTATGAAAGCAATATTTGTTCCTGAAGCACTTGCGTATAACTAACTCTTCCCGCTTTTATGTGTTTTTGTGTGACAGATGGGAATGGGTTCTGAAACTGTTATAAAATGATAAGGAGTAACATTTGTGACACCTTGGATTTTCTAGAAGAACTTAAAAAACTTCATACAATATTTTGTTAATCATTTGACACTCAAGAATTTGAAAACAACGGAATGTTTTTGTGTATTTAGAATCTAGGGCTTTATTCATGCACTCTTCATAGATAAGGTTTCTTATTTCAGAATCCTTACAGATAAGTTGTTAGATTGAAATTTCAGCATCTAATTCATGTGGTCACATTTCTGTATTTTGTTGCTGCCTCAGAAAAATGCACCAAAGGTAAGTTTAGGACATGCATGTAATTCCTAAAGAGGGAATATGATCAGGGAAATTATATAAGAGTTAATTCACAAATTAGTCAAGTGAATGACTTTTCTAACATCCAATAACAGGAGTATAAAGTGACTTCTTAATCTCAGAGTTATTTTAATATCTCAGATTGTTTAGGGAATTTCAGGTACAAAGAAGTACTTAAAATAGCAGAAGTTGTTAGGAAATCTTTGATTTACTTTGTTCCACTGGACTTTCTGCCTTCCCCCAAAAGAAATTAATGCCTTTCCTCATTCTTTGAATTGTGAAGACGTTGCTAAAGATACTTTTAAGTGCTCTGAGGGTTTGCATATTCATGAGACATGGAACTGGACTCCAAAGGGAGAGTGTGTGCTACTGAATGGAATTGAAAGTCAGTATCTTCCAGTGACTGTTCCATGGTGAACATTTAGGGCAGCCTTTACGTGCATATAGGGTCCACTTCTCTTCAGTAAAAGCTAGGCAGAAGCCTGTAAAGTCAAATGCAATTTTCATTATGCAAATATGCAGATCACCAGAGACATCCCCAATAATTACTCTAGGAATTTTTGTTTTTTAAATGCTAAAATAGTTGAAGTATGCTTTTAAGGTAAAGATGAATGATGTGGTTTCTACTCTGGCCTTCCCACTTGCATATTTTTTCTACTTTAGAGAGGACTCTAGCATGTTTTCATTTGCAAGGGGTGTTACCACCTGAGATGGTTAAGGGTGTAGGTCTGTGGCAAATCAGGCATGTAAGGTAACAGAGAGAACACTGCTTTCTTCTGGTTGCCAACCAGGTCATTCTCATTGCTTAAATAATATTTCATTGCTCCTCTCAGCTTTTAACGGTTTTTCTACGATTAGGGAATATATTTATAAATCCTTGGCATCTATTCCTAGTATTAGAATGATTTGAGAGTGTTTGGTCTAGACTATGTCGAATATTTAAAACATTTAATATGGGTAATTATTTACCAGTGTGGACAGTTAGGTAGTTTATGTTTTTCGGACTGGTAGTTAACTTGGTGTTAATTCAATTGCCGGGTATACAGGTTTTTAGAGAAAAAAATGGAAACAGCCTGATTTATCTGATAACTAAATATAGTTTTAGAGTCACATGGAGAGAATAACTGATTTTAGCTGAAGATGTACAGTGATGCATTTTAAGTATGCTGTGGCTTTAAACTTGTATTCTTTATACCTGAAGTAATACCATGCATGATTATTTAATATTATATTTTACATGTATGTATTTTCTCCACATTTAACTTTGGTAACACAGAAGTTCATACTATTCCTAAAAAGTCTACTAAGGTCAGATAAGGTTTATATATTACCAAATATCTGACTTACAGCCTTTTATTTCATTCTCAGCTGAAGATATTACCTAAGGAGAGCGATTGTCTCTTTTCTCGCAAACCTTCTAGGTACTGATGTAAGGCTGCTAAGATGAGGAAGCCAGACAAGGGTTAATAAGATAATATTGACAAGACCTCCTCATTTACAGCACTTGTGATTTTATCCTTGTCTTGAGTCTGGATAAGTGAATTATACAATTTCTTCTCTTGCCTCCTTCACATTCCGTGAAAATGGTTGGTTTTTCTGCTGGAACATTTGAGAATTATAGATAAGTTGTGCATGATAACACATCCTTGTGTTACACGGAGGCCCAGTAATTTGGAGGGAATATGAATACCCTTACTTCTTTTAGAACATCAACACCATGCTAACCATGTGGAGTGATACTAAAAAACACTCTACTTTAATTTGGGTTCCAGGCTCTTGATCGTACAAATAGTGCTGGTCAGCATAGACCTTAGCCATGTTGCACACTTGGGCTTCATAGTGTTTCTGCAGCTGTCTTCCCTCCTAGAGCTTGGGACCCAATGGTGTTTTTTTTTTTTTCTCAGAGCCAATATGCTTGGAGTTGCTGATTTTATTTTCTTACCAGCCTGTATCTCTCTCTGCTCTACAAAGAAATGCTTATTTCCTTTTTTGAGTAGCAAGCTGTTATCTTGTTTCTAGTTGGTGTGAAATCTGAAAGAACAGTTCTAATTTGTATCACCTAATCCAAAAATGTGTGGACTTTTAGTGAAAATAATATGCAAAGAGCCATTAGTGGCTAATCATTTATGCCAGAGGAAATCGGGGACATGTGGCAAATCTGGTGAAAGTTTTAGACAATTTTAGACCGGTCTTAAATATATTTTATTTTATAGTTGTTTTACTCTTCACTCTGTTCTGTGAATATAAACTTCTTTTAATTATGTGAAGCAAGAAGTTTAGTTTTAACTTAATGAAATTCCTTTGGCATCTTTATGGAATTTAGTGTTAACATTTTATTTATTTATTTATTTATTTTTGAAAGAGAGAGAGAGAGCAGAAGTGGGGAGGGGCAGAGAGAGAAAGAGGGAGACACAGGATCCATAGCAGGCTCTAGCCTCTGAGCTGTCAGTACAGAGTGCAGGGCTCAAACTCGTGAACTGCAAGATCCTAACTGAGCTCAAGTGGGAAGCTCAACCGACTGAGCCACCCAGGCACCCCAGTGTTAACATTTTATTTCCTAAATGTATAGTTTCTGGTATGGTCAACAGTGTAAAAGCTCAGAGGCCTACATGATTTCCTTTGGACCTGATGTAGATTAGAAGAGATGGATTCATAAAATTTAAACAACACTATTCAACACACTGTCATGCAGTAAAACCTCATATAAAAATGAGACACATTGGGGAAGTGGTTCATTTTGATACATAATTCTGAAGTCTTGTCTGTCTTTTTTTTTTTTTTTTTTCTTTTCTGACTGAAACCTGGAATGGAATTTCTAAAGATTTACCCTCAGAATTTTAGTCATTCTGAGTCATTAATTTAAAACAGCTTACATTGTATATTTATTTCTCTAGGAAATAGCC